GCGCGTGGCGGGCGTCCGGCCGTGGCCACAGAGGAGGCCTCCTGGAGGCGCAGAAGGCGGCATCCTCGAGCATCCTCGACCCCAGGCCTCGACCAAAACAGTGTTTGTCGTTTTCGTTTTTTTTTTGTTCGCTCTCCCTCGTTCTGTCTTCGTTCCACCTCTGCCACAAAGCGAGATCGAGACGAGAACGGCCCACGAAATCGAGCCCTGCTCGACCCTCGACCATCCCCGAGCACCGTCGTGGTCTTTTCACAACGAGAAGGGGTGAGGGACCCTCGGACATCCTCGATCCTCGATCAAGACGTCCGGCACCCTCAATTCCGAAAGCAGCGCCCCGTCGCTTCGAGCGGCGGCCCCCCCGGCGCTGGCCGCGCGGCCAGCAGGGCGAGGGGAGGCGGCGGCACGGCCTCGGTGATGCCGACGTGGGGGCCGTACATGACGAAGATGTTGCCGCTCTTGGGCGCGCCGCCGACTCCCCAACTCTTCGTCCGACTCATTACCCCATCTCCTGCTCATCTTCCATCCCTTCTCCTTCTGAACCAAAGTGAGGAACCGAACGGTCATTCACTGTCCCTGGGTGCGTGGCTGAAGTGGGACTCCGCGATGCGGATTATCATTGTTGGTGTTAGTGGTGGTGGTGGTGGTGGTGGCGGTGGTGGTGGTGTGGGTTGTTGTTATTGTTGCTGCTGCTGCTGTTGGTGTTGCTGTTGGTGGTGGTGTTGTTGTTGTTGGTGGTGGTGTTGGTGTTGGTGTTGGTGTTGCTGTTGGTGGTGGTGTTGTTGTTGGTGTTGTTGTTGCTGTTGCTGCTGTTGTTGTTGTAGTTGTAGCTGCTGCTGTTGTTGTTGCTTGGCGTCGTCCCCCCCGCGACCCGGCCCGCGACCCGCCCGCGACCCACCCCGCGACCCGCCCGCGACCTACCCGCGACCCACCCGCGCGACCCGCCCGCAACCCGCCGGCGAGCTACCCGCAACCCCCCCCCCGCGACCCGCCCGCGACCCACCTGCGACCCACCCCGCGACCCTCCCACATTGCTGTAACGAAGAATCGGCGCCTGCGGCGGGCCCGTTGTATACTTGTAAAAATTAGGCCTGCGGCGGGCTTCTTCAAAGCCTCGCAGACTGCAGACGTCCCCGTCGCTCCCTCACGCTTATCCGCTACTTCGGAGTGCTACAAAAAACCTCCCTGTAGCACCCCCAGACGTGTTGGTAGGGCGGGCCGGGCGGTTCGCCTGAGACGTCCCAACAATTTATGATTCTGAAGCTTGAAGTTCGCAACAGTTTCAATGATGGAAAGGGGGCGCTTTCGAAACGAAGCTGGCGCCTTAGCGCCGCGTGCAATCGTCTCACAGGTTCGCAATAGTTTTGATGATGGAAGCAGGGGTGCTTTTCGAAATGTGGCTCTCGCCGTAGCACCGTGCTCATTCGTCTTAAAAGTTCGCAACAGTTGCACGGATGGGCAGGGATCGTTCTCAACATGGAGATCCCACCTTAGCAGCGTACAAATTATTTCTAGAAGTTCGCAGAGCTTCTCACAAATGGAAAGCGGTTCCTTTTCAACATGGGGCTCTCGCCTTAGCGCCGCGCACATTCGTCTTGAAAAAAATCAGTCTCACGGAAGGAGGGCGGTTTCAAACTTGGGCTCTCGCCTGCGCTCCGCGCACGTTCGACCAGAAACTTGAACAGACGCAACGGCTGCATGGATGCAGGGCGGCTCCTTTTGGCAAGTGGGCGTTCGCCTGAGAGTTCTACAGTTACTGTAAGGACCAGGCACCTGAACTGATGCAATAGCTGCACAGATGGAGGACTGTTCGTTTTCAAAATGCAGCTTTCGCTTCGGAGTTCTTCGACGCTCATGGCCACGGGTGAAAACTTGTACGAGAACTACACAGGTCGAGGCGGCCCTTCTTCAGAACGGGCATCTCGCTGGATACCTCTTGCGCGTTCCCTGATGCTCGCTGGACGGATGCAAAGCGGTTCGTTCCACTTCAAAACGGGGCTGTCGCCTGAACGGCAGACGAATAGGGTGCTAACCTCCTCAAGTGGAAGAAAAGCGTGTGGAGACTTATGGGGGGCGGGCTTGGGACGGGAGGGCGTCTGCACCACCGTTGATGAATCTTGAGAAGACTCAGGTCCCCCTCCTCCTCCTGCCCGCCTTCCTCCTCCACCTCCACCTCCACCTCCTCCTCCTCCTCCTCCTCCTCCTCCTCCTCCTCATCATCATCATCATCCTCATCATCATCATCATCATCATCATCATCATCATCATCATCATCAGCAGCATTCAGAATCAGCATCAGCATCATCATCATCATCTCATTCATCATTAAGTCATCAGCATCATCAGCAGCCATCAGAGTCATTCATTATCATCTCATAATCATCATCATCAGCCAGCTAGCAGCAGCATCAGCTCAGCATCAGCATCATCATCATCATTCATCATCATCAGCCTCCCATCCTTCACCTCATTCCTCATTCCTCTTCATCATCCTCATCACAATCATCATCTCACCTCATCAAACATCATCATCATCATAATCATCATCATCATAATCAGAATCATCATCATCATCAGCATCATCATCATCAACATCATCAACATCATCAACATCATCAGCATCAGCATCATCATGATCATCATCATCCGCATCAGCATCAGCATCATCATCAGCAGCATAAGCATAAGCATCAGCATCATCATCATCAACATCACCTTCATCGCCATCGTCATCGTCATCATCATCAGCATCACCATCATCCACCACGACATCATCATCATCATCATCATCATCATCATCATCATCATCATCATCATCATCATCAGCATCATCATCGCCATCATCAACGTCAGCAGCATCAGCATCAGCATCATCGGCAGCATCATCAGCATCCTCATCAGTATCATCATCATCGCCACCATCATCAGCAGCAGCATCATCAGCAGCATCAGCAGCATCAGCAGCATCAGCATCATCAGCATCATGATCAGCAGCATCAGCATCCTCGGCATCCTCACCATCATCAGCATCAGCATCATCACCATCATCACCCTCATCAGCATCATCAGCAGCAGCATCAACATCAGCATCAGCATCATCAGCGCCACCATCATCATCAGCATCATCATCAGCATCATCATCATCATCAACATCATCATCACCATCATCATCATCGTCATCATCATCAGCATCATCAACATCATCATCATCATCAACATCTAATCATCACAGCAACATAATCCACATCATCATCTCATCCCAAAATTTCATCACATCATCAGCATCATCAGCATCATCATGATCATCAAGCATCAGCATTGCGGTCCACAATCAAACAGCATCAGGCATCAGATCAGCATCATCATCATCCATCATCATAATCAACATCATCTATAATCTCGTCATCGTCATCGTCCATCATCCAGACAGAATCATCATCACAATCAGCTAGCAGCAGCATGCATATCCATGCACCATCATCCACCACGACATCATCACCATCATCATCAGCATCATCATCGCCATCATCAACGTCAGCAGCATCAGCAGCATCATCAGCATCCTCATCAGTATCCTCATCAGTATCATCATCATCATCGCCACCATCATCAGCAGCAGCATCATCAGCAGCATCAGCAGCATCAGCATCATGAGCATCATTATCAGCAGCATCAGCATCCTCAGCATCCTCAGCATCATCAGCAACAGCATCATCACCATCATCAGCATCATCAGCAGCAGCATCAACATCAGAATCATCATCATCATCAGCGCCAACACCATGTCATAGCATCATCATCGTCTTCATCGTCATCATCAGCAGCATCATCCGCAGCAGCAGCATAATCAGCATCGTCGTCATCATCATCAGCAGCAACATCATCAGATTCATAACCATCATCAGCAGCAGCATCACGGGTGGTTTTCAAAATGTGGCTCTCGCCTTTGCGCGGCGCACAGTGGTCACAAAAATGCGCAAGAGTTTCACGGATTGAGGGCGGTTCCTTTTTTTAATGTGGCTCTCGCCTGAGCGTGGCGCACGTTCGTTTTAAAAATTGTAAAAAGTTTCACGAATTCCCATCATAGACGTGCCACACATGCTGTTTTGAAAGGAATCAGGATTATGCGTGCGCACCAGTTGTGTTGATTCGCTGTGTTGGGATCCCAGGAATAGCGTTCTGGCACGATTCAGGATTGTCAAGACGCAACAGTCAGGTTGATCCGTGGCGTTGGAATCCCGAGAACAATGTTTTGGCATGAATCACGGTCTTCAACCGCTTGACTTCCAAAGAGGCAGTTCCTTCAATGGAAATGAACCGTTGTAGGGGCCTACGAAGAGGGAGCTTGGAGGGAGGGTTTCTTCCAACATCGTTGATGACTCTTGGGTTTACACTGGTCCTCATCCTCCTCCTCCTCCTCCTCCTCCTCCTCCTCGTCCTCGTCCTCCTCCTCGTCATCGTCCTCGTCCTCGTCCTCGTCCTCCTCCTCGTCCTCGTCCTTCTCCTCATCCTCGTCCTCCTCCTCCTCGTTCACCTCCTCGTCCTCCTCATCCTCCTCCTCCTCCTCCTCGGCCTCCTCCTCCTCCTCCTCCTCGGCCTCCTCCTCCTCCTCCCCTTCCGCCGTCCTCCTCCCCTCCTCCTCTCCTCCCTGCCTCCTCATCCTCCTCCTCCTCCTCCTCTCTCCTCACTCCTCCATCCTCCTCCTCCTCCTCATCATCATCATTCATCATATCATCATCATCATCATATCATCATCCATCTCATCATCATCATTCCATCATCATCATCAGCCATCATCAGCATATCATCATCAGCATCATCATCATCAATCATCATCATCATCATCATAATCTCATATCATCATCCTCATAATCATCATCATATATTCATCATCATCATCATCATCATCATATCATCATCATCCTCATCCTCAGCCTCATCTCATCCTCATCCTCATTCCTCATTCCTCATCATCATCCATCATCCTCATCCTCATCCCCTCCTCATCATCTCTCTTCCTCACCTCCTGTCCTGACCCATTCCCTCCCTCCTCCGTCCTCCTCCTCCTTCCCTCCCCTCCCTCCTCTCCTTCTCCTACCTCTCCCCTCCCTCCTCTCCTCCCTCCCTCCTCCTCCTCCTCCTCCTCCTCCTCCTCCACCTCCTCCTCATCCTCCTCCCCCTCCTCGACGACGTGTGGCTTTCGGGGCACGCCGAAAATATCTCTTGCAGCGTCTCTCCCCGGAACTCCGACGCCGTGCCTGCTCCCAGAGCCTCGACCCCACCCCGGAGACTGGGACCGGACCCCTCCCCCAGGACAGCGTCTGTGTGTGCTTCCTCGATCCCGCGTCGCTTCTTGATCGACGGTCCTGGGGCCCGGCGAGGGCCCGCCGAGGCCGAAATAATTTACCAGCCTGGAACAGATCCCTATCCCCATGTTCGGCATCGCCTCATCACGATG